GTTCAGCAAGGATTTGATCAGATATATCCGAAGGAACCATCCTGATTATAAAAAAAAAATTCTCACTTTCTTGCTTCTACATGCTCGTTCTTGGTAGGTTTTCTCAACCGTTTTCCCTTAACCTTCTATTGTAGACAATCTTGTAGTTCATGTTGAGCCAACTTCTGATATGACGGAACCATCTGCAGTCAAATCCTCTGCAGCGGAAACTTGCATTGGGGTTTTCAATTCATCTCCGATCTTGGACCCTTGATTCAAGATCCATGTTGTCGGATCATCATGAAGCATATCTTCCAATCCCATAATCTTCAACCCAATATGGATCTTCTCTTTCCATAGAACAAAATCGTTCTTACCATCGAACTTCTCAACATCGAGTTTCTGCATCGGAGTTGCCATATCTAACTTTAGATTTCCAATTCTCTATCCTGATCTTTTCCACGAATCGATAGCCCAAAACAACTGGGCTCTGATACCGCCTGTACTGAATTAAGGTTCTCACTCGAACTGTCGAACGCGATGAACTCACCGATAACCCTAACTCACCCGATTCCAGATCAACCGAACATGAGAATTTACGAGAATCGAAAAAGAAGAAGAACACCAGAATTATGAGTTCATATCAATCAATATGATTGATCCTACATCTCAGAGAGGCCGATTTCACTACCAAAATGAACTTGGTATAGATACAAGCTTCGAGATCGTAGAGAGAGAAAGAATTGCTGAAGAAAATACACTACTAAAAACAGAGAGAGGCGGGTCCTTTTTAAACGAAGAAGACCTATGACATCCGAAACCCATATCCCGCATTACGAGTTGCGTCACATGGACAACTAAAAAAAAAACTCAATTCCAAAAATCCGCGGGAATTTAAAATTTTTCTTTTCAAAGTTAGCGAAAGGAAAACATTCATACATACATATATGATACATTATTCTAGAGATAATTATACATAACGAGTGGTAGTGATAAAATTATTACAAACCGTAAAAGTCTACCACTGGTATAATATAAACCGTTTTTCCCAAAAGCTAAAATGTACCATAGTAAATAATTATACATGATTAATCGACAGGTCACCCAAGTCTCTGATGTCCGCTCTGCGGCTACTGCTGCTCACGACCTGAAACATTGCGTAACAACGTCCTAAGCTAATTGCTTAGAGATTGAACTCAGGCATAACCCGGAGTTCTATTCTCATGGAATCAGAGAAATCAAATATATATATATATATATACTAATACTCTAATAAACAGGAATTGAAACATGGAATCACGATAATCATGTCAGCAATCACAATCAAGTCCGTACAACAAGTCGCAGGACATAGTCCGTCAAATCGTCTCTATGTGAACCATGCGTAGGTAATATATTCCTCATGTGCATAGCACAACCATCTCTCTCCTCGTAATCCATCTACTCCACAATCACCCGGATCCAGTATAAATATATATTACTCCGCCCGAACACATCACCCCACCCTAGCATCGATGTCACCTCTCGATACTAGGTGTGTCACCTCGCGCCGATATTGATGTCACCTCTCAATACCGGAGTTCACCAGACATCAGCTACCACCGACGCCATCGACTATAACGAGAGAGCCAATCGCTGCAAGACCCCCTCGCCGGCCATCCGTCGCGGAAATACTTGTCAGGTTCGTGCCCAAACCTGGCAGAGTAAGTCCGTACCACCTCCTAGGGAGACCCCAATATATCCGAATCTCACGTATGTGTATATGCCCCATCCTCGGGATAATCATATCCCAGAATCCGCTCCGTCGCTAACGGAAACGTTGGCGCTGTTACCAAGATTCGTATTTTCCTCATCACGCAATAGTACCGACTACAATCGGCTATCTACGCAAGTCATTTGGGTGCCCATAACCGTCATATCAATCGAACGTTGGCGCAATTAGGTTATCGCCACATTCACAATCATATCCCATATGGGTGACATCCGAACCGGATCGGATGACCCATGGAATGGGACACAATCTCGCAAACATCGTGCAATCATTCACAAATGTCCGTTTCTACAATTACGCGCTAAAAGTTAATCCGAACCCTTTCGAATTAACGTTAACGTCATGCCAGCTACCACAGTCACACGCATTTATATAGTTTATTTACTATACATGCATTTCTGCATGCGTAGTCTTTTATATTCATTTACATATTTTCTTTGAGTCTTTCTAATTAAATTAAATTACCAAATTATACCTCCGGTTTGACCTATCTTGTTCCGGTCCGCCCGGATAACCAGTTCGGTTCATTCCGTGGTTTTTAGGCTTATATGTTATCCATTTTTGGGTTCAGACTACATGGGGTCCGGTCTGACCCGTATTTTCGGTTTATTTTTTATTTTTCACTTTTTCACTATATTGAGTAGGGGTAATATTAGGTCCGACTAATCTAGTTTTTCACTTCCTCACCTAGTGTATTTTCAAGGTTCCGTTAGTTTTTTTTTGGGTCGGTCTGAGGTCAGACCGACCAGACTGATTTTTCGTCCAGACCGATCGATCTAGATACTAGACCGATCGGTCTAGTAGGCAGGTTTAGGTCTCAGTCTGATTTTTGATCCAGACCGGTCGGTCTAGATTATAGACCGATCGGTCTACGCTTGGTTTTGGTCTCGATCTGATTTCGGTCTAGACCGATCGGTCAAGCCTCTGGACTAGTCAGTCTAGGCTTCGTCTTCAACTTTAGAATTTCGCGATTTCTTCTGCAGACCTAGATCGGTCGGTCTAACCCCTAGACCGGTCGGTCTACGCCGCGGAATTCACCAGAATTACACAAACAAGAATCAACCAACAATTTCGCAAGAATCACACAAAAACTCAAACCCCATGTCAACAGACTTCCGAATTAAACTCGAATTCACTCAACTGGGTTAAACTCGAGCTCTGGGTGTTGAATGGGAAGCTTGGTGATGCTCCTCTTGCTCTCTAGAAATCGATTTGAGCGTTAATTTCTTCAATTTGAGAGAGAATTTTTCAGATTTGCAGAGAGGGGTGAGTATTGAGGGAGATGATGAAGAACTGAAGGGGGGAGAGGGTTAATCAAGGCTCGGATTCGACAATTCCGGATAGAAATCAGGCCCAAGGGTTGAAAAATCCGGATTTTTGGTCGATGATTGACGGGTAAACGTCGTTTTCGGGTAGAAAATCGCGACTTTTTCGTCTGCACAGCGTCTGGACTGATCGGTCTACGTCTGGACCGGTTGGTCTAGGTCGCTGTGTTCGTCTGATCTTGCCGATTGTCTAGACCGGTCGGTCCAGACAATTTTTTTTTTAATTCTTGGGTTGTTACAAGACCAAACCTTCGGACTCATTTAGACTCTCTCAAACCTTATCTTTCCCTCAGAATATTTCAACTGATAAAACAGATTCTTAGGCAAACTCATCAATATTTCTAACGGAATCAGGGTTTATATGTTTTTGTGACAAAAATTGTAAAATTTGTAGATTTTTTACAAAATTAGGAATTTATTTATTTATTCGATAAAATTTAAAAAGTACAGGTTTACAAGGCAATATTCTCTCTTGTTTTGTTTTTTTTAGAATGATATCAATACGAACTTAAGAACCTCAAAATTGACCAAAAATAGGGTGGCAACTATTGAATTTAAAAAATAGAATTAAATTAAAATTTTCTGTTATGTCATATAATCAAATAAAAAACACATGAACTACTTGTAGAATTCACATCATATTATAAACTGAATAAGACAATATTATACCGGTTTAACCAGCAGTATACTCTAGTACCAATCTGTCGAATACGTTCTAAAACATTTGCAAAATGATTTGTAGTTATTGAATGCATTTCCAAGACATTTTGCAAATGATTTGTAATGATTTATAGACTTTACGAAGAATCTCGAGATAATAAAATAAACGGAGATATGGTCTAATGATGAATTTTGTGTGTGAGGAATGGTGGAGACTATTCGTCTGCTTGTTCGTAAGGTCCATGTTTGATTTTACATACGGGGGAGTAAAAAATATTTTTTGTTTTAGGTTATTTCATATTTTTTAAGGAAAGAGAAAGAAAGTCATATATATCCTTATTTGATAATAAAAACAACGTTATTGAAATTTGGTTGGGATAAAATTGGAAAATATTATAAAAAAATATTTTGAAAAATATAGAATGACAAATATTTTGAAATATAAAAAAATAATCTAAAACTACAAATATTTTGAAAAGTACAATTTATTCTGAGTTTTATGGAATGTAATAGGTCAAAAGTCAATTGAATTTTTTGAATTATAAAAAAATAATAAATGCTGGCAGCAAGAACGCACGCATTACTAATGCTACCCGTTTCTGTTGTGACTTAATTTCCATACAATAAATAGGTGCTCAATAATTCAATAAAGTGATGTAATTTCTTGAATAGGTTGCAAGTACGACTTAGTCAGACTTCCATTATCTTTATTTAATCTTCCCAAAATCAGCTCGGAGATCAGACCACCACTAAAACAAATGGATAATTTTATCATTAGCCTCACCACCACCCTTGTCTTCGCAGCCACGCTTGCATTCTTCCTCCTCCGAAACCCTAAAATGAAACGTCACCGTTTACCTCCGGGACCTAAGGGACTTCCTATAATCGGAAACCTCCTCATGATCCAGAAGGTTAACCCCCAACGTTTCCTCTACAATCTATCCAAAACATACGGTCCGATTTTGTCCTACAAACTCGGTGCCCGGAAAACGGTTGTGATTTCGTCTGCCGAGCTGGCCGAGGAGCTTCTCAAGACCAGAGACCTCGACTTTGTGAACCGTCCCGAGCAGCGAGCTCAGGTGTTCTTGACGTACGAAGCACGGGACATGGCGTTTCAGAACTATAACGTGTATCATAAGGAAATGAAGAAGATGAGTATCCTTCACCTCTTCTCTCCGAGCCGGGTAGCGAGTTTCCGGTACATCAGAGAGCAAGAAACACGTCGTTCGATGGATAAGGTATCGGAAGCGGCCGGGAGATTGCGAGCCGTTGATATAAGTGAGCTTATGGTGACTTACACCAACTCCGTCGTATGCCGACAAGCGTTCGGGAAGAATCACAACGAGGACGATGTCCAGATGAAGAGATTTATCGGGATATTAGGTCGGATTCAAGGCCTTTGGGGGACAACGTTCTTTTCCGATCTCTTCCCGTTCTGTACGTTTGTTGATGATATTACGGGGCTTACGGCTTATATGAAAGAAACTTTTCGATTACAAGATGCTTACTTGCAAGAGCTCGTCGACGAGGCACTTGACCCAAATAGGAGTAAACCCGAAACCGAGAGTATGATTGATCTCTTGATGGAAATGTACAGAGATCAGCCTTTCTTCTCAACCAAGTTCACCCTTGAAAATGTGAAGGCCATGATCTTGGTAAGTCTCCTCACACACAAGTAAATTGGATTCGGGCAACTGCTTTATGTGTACTATGGTCCGTAAATAAACTTGTTTTGGTGTTTATTGGCTCGAACTTATGATGTTGTCGAATTTTAACATAGGATGTTGTCAGATTTGTTTTATATTTTTGGGACAATCGCCTAAAAAAAATGACCAACTTTTTTAAAAAGTTCATGTAAAATCACGAACTTTATATACTCTTATATAAAATCATGAAACCGGACCCTCAAAGAGTAAAGGAAAAAACTAACCAGTTCTATTCACTTGAGAAAAAGTCAAGTACAACTCACTTTTTGTTAGAGCTACTTAACACCCACTCTCACAATGAATTCTACCGATCAAAAACCTTACCAAACGTAAACGCTCACCAAAAGAACGGAGATTTTTCCATTAGGTCTCCCCCTCAGATCCACGCCCAAACACTCAACAGAGAAAAGAGATTTACCCAATCGGTCTCTTTCTCAGACACACACTCACTCAAATAGTGAGTGCTCACTCACCAAAAATCTCTCTATAGAAAAATATGCTTTGCTCTCCGTAAGAACTAATATGCAACTTGTGTCTCCTTTATATAGACTCCTCCAGTTCGCCTTAGATCTCCACGAATTGATTTGATAGACTCGTCCTTGATTCTCTTCGATTTCATCTCTATCTCCAAGATCTTATCTTTATCTCTATCTCTTCAATTTTTTACTTTATCTCCAAGATCTTGTCTCTATCTTAAATCTCCTCAAATCTTCTTAGCTTTGATTCTATCTTCATCTCTTGGAGTCAAATCCAAACTTTGTGGCTGTATCTCTTCATATTGCTTTCCCTAAAATCTCTCTTCAAGTGGTTGACATTGAATCCATCTCAATCTCTCAGTCTTTGACTTTATCTGAAACTTGTCAGCTGTACCTCAGATTTGCATGAGCTCTATCTCGTCGTATTCTTCTCCTGAAATCTCTCAAGTTTGTTGAACCTGCAATAACCACTGAACAACCAAAAAACACATGTGCAAATAATTGCAATAACAGAAACTACAAATTTCGTAAAATTAATGAATACGATAGAATATGATAAGATTGTTCTTTATTTTTTCACTCTTGAAAATGTGAAGGCCACAATCTTGATAAGTTAGAATGTTTATAGACTCGTTTTTATACGTCTCTAGCTCCTTTAGAGAACACCGGTTTGATCGAATTTGCAAATACAATTTTGTCGAGCCGGTTTATATTGATGATAAACACTTTCTCACTTTTATGCATTCATTGGTCTGGAAAGGACATGATGGTGGCGGGAACAGACTCTGCGGCTGCGGTGGTCGTGTGGGGACTAACATATCTTATGAAGTGCCCGGAAGTGATGGACAAAGCTCAGGCTGAACTGAGAGACTTAGTCGGAAACAGAGGTTTCGTAACGGAAGACGACATTTCCAAGCTTCCCTACTTCAAAGCCCTTGTGAAAGAAACGCTAAGGATCGAACCCGTCATACCGCTACTCTCGCCTCGAACTTGCGTGGAAGATTCTGAGATAGGCGGCTATGATATCCCTGCAGGAACTACCGTCAATGTCAATATATGGGCCCTAACACGAGATGAGAAGTTATGGGGCGAAGATCCGCAAGAATTTAGGCCCGAAAGGTTCTTGGAAGAGAAGAACGGTGTCGATTTCAAGGGAAACGATTTTGAGCTGATCCCGTTTGGGTCGGGCCGAAGGATGTGCCCTGCCGTGAATTTGGCTGCGGCCATGCTCGAGCTTCCGTACGCTAACCTTCTCTACAAATACAACTTCAAGCTTCCGTACGATCTGAAACCCGAGGATATCGACATGGACGTGAAGATTGGCATTGCTATGCCGAAGGCTGAACCTCTCGTGCTTATTCCGGAGAAGGTTTACTAAGATTTGTAATTACGTGTGACTTCTTCCTTGTAGAGCCGTCAACCTAATAGTGTATGGTGAAGTGTAACATCTTTTAATGAATTATGAATTAAAAATTGAAAACCCTTTCTCAATGCTAAATACATATACGGGTAATCGCAAAAAAAAATTAAAATTTTTAATATTTGATAAATAAACAAATAAATAAATAAACTTCCAATTTTATAATAAAATACACAAACTTATCATTTTCAATCATAAATCGACACAACCCCTAGTTGTATAAAAAATTTGACGAATTCGCCAATTGTATAAAATTTGCCGAGCCACCCAGATATACCACATCACCAATGTCATACGTAAAATTTTCATTTCACGAAAGATTAAAAAAGATATAGATATAATATATATTCATATAAAAATATAAAAAAGAAAGACATATATATAAAACATATATATATATATACATACATATATGTTTTTTTATAATATGTGATTCACAAGAGTATATACATATATATGTTTACATAGGGATATGGACATCATATGTTTACTAGAAGATAATTAGAACAAGTGAGAGTTTTTTGTTTAGATGTTCTATGATGTTCTACGATATAAGTACTGATACATTAGTATTGACATTTTTATGAATGGTTGCATGATTAAATGTTTGATTCTTTATTTGTTTGGCATATTGAATAAATGATGAAATTCATGTCTCGTTATGAATGATCATAAATTCTCTAGTCGCGTATCTTTGTGGGAACAATGATATATTAATAGTAGTATGAGGCGTGATAGATGATCATATGTATTGGATATATATCACAGTCATGGGTACTTATTTGAAATGAAGTACTGGATTGTTAAACCAGACGAATCATCCGCAATGTGTTGAACACACCCAATTAATCACCAATAGTTGACGAATGGTTCAGCCCATGGACTGATGTTGGGCTTAGCAAACCGTTGGAGGATTGAAGCATCGAAGGAGAGCAAATTGGCAACAGGATCTCTGCATTTCCATCAAAAACACATGTTTCCATTTATCAGGATACACTTTCTATTTCTCAAACATTGTATTAGGAGCATGCCTTTTATAAGGTTGAATATTGTTCTCTGCTGAATTAGCAATGAAGAAGACATAATCTCCAGTATTCTCTTGACATTTCTCTGATTCTCTCCTTCGCCAATTTCTGTCAACAACCCAATCTTAAATTCTTTCATGATATCAGAGCCTCTAGGGCTAAATACCACTCTCTCTCTGTTTCTTTACACATCTATCTTCTGAAACAATGGATTCTTCACTTCGAAGCTGATCCCAACCGTGTTCGACAGCAAAAATTACTTGATTTGATCTAAAGCTGCTCGGACAACACTCATTGGGAGAGGTCTGTGGAGTCACGTCCTTCAGACCCAAGAACCGACACCACCGACATCAATTATTCCAACACAAACATCGACAGATGGAGCAACACCAACAGAACCAGCAACGCAGGTTTCACTTTCTGATCCAACAACAACCAAATGGTTTCAGGAAGATCAACAAGCTCCGGCAATTATTCAGAGTTTTCTGGCTCCGCATATACTCAACAACTACATCCATTGAGAGACAACGAAAGCAATTTGGGACAAACTCAAGCTCGTGTATGGCAACCTGTCAAACATGAGTCGAATCTACGAGATCAAGAAGGCTCTCTTTGCAATACAGCAAGGAGGTCATCCCTTTGAAACGTGCCTTGGCGAAATCAGTAGCTTATGGGCCGAATATGAACAACTCCGACCCGACACGGCAGATTTCAAAATCATTGCCGATCGGAAAGAACAAGACAAGGTATTTTCGATTCTCTCGTGTTTAGATGGGATTTACATTGATCTTGTCTATCATGTTCTTAGGCAAGAAAAGATCCCATCCATGGATGAAGTATGTATGCTTATCCAAAGGGAAGAGTGTAGTAGAAACCTGTTCAGTGGCTCTGTCGACTTGGCACATTTAACTGCTCAGAAAAATATTCTTCCAGCAAGTCACGAAGAAACCAACATGTCCAGAAAATTTTTCCAGCCTGCATACAACAGGGACAAGCGGAACGCCACTAGCGAACACTGCAAGAAACCTGGTCATGATAAAACTAAATGTTGGTTCTTGCATCCCCATTTGAAGCCGCAACAATTTCGTGGCAGAGACTCTCGTAACTCTATCATTGTTGATTCGGGAGCGACAAATCATATGTTCTCTCAATATAACCGGTTTCAAAATATGCAGACCATGTTCGGTACTGTTTCGGTGGCAAATGATGCTAAAATACCTATTGCTGGCCATGGTTCTATTCAATTATTTGATAAAAATATAAATGCTCTCTATGTTCACAACTTAAAACGAACATGTTATCCATTCCGAAACTCAATAAAGAATTGGATTGTTCCGTTATTTTTTATGCTAATGAAATACGCTTTCAAGATACTAATACTCGAAGAACTTTTGGGAAAAGCGTTCTTCACAATAAGGGGGAACTTCCAAATTACCCTCAATGTGCTACAAGGACTTCTAGTGCTACCCTCCTCTTGAAAAAAAAAATTCCAACTTCTAATATACCCCTCTCATTCACAAATTACACAAATACCCTTTACAATAAATTAAAAAAATAAAAAAAAACTCCCTTTTTTTTAGGGTTTCTCTTTCTTCAGAAACGGTTTCTCTCTCCTCCTCTCACCATTGTCGACTAAGCTCTCTCTCTCTACTGCGTTTTCTCTCTCCTCCTCATTTAGCTATTTTGTCTTCAAAATTTGTCGAATTTGGACAAAATCACGGGCAAATCAAGGCGAAATCAGTGATGAAAGTGGAAATAGGTAAGTTTGTGTCGAAATCTCAGTTTTTTTCATACACATTGATGGTTGTTGCGGTTTTTTTCCCTTCAATTGTTGTGTTTTCTGTAGTTGTGTCGTTTGTAAACAAAGATCTGTATCAGATCTGCATTTTGGATGCATTCCGAGCATCGTTCTGTGTCACGGGTCACACAGGTTAATTGTCATGAATGTCAACGTGGGTATATGGGTCACAATGATCACAATGTGCACAACACTTATATGGGTGATTATAGAAACATGACATAATGGTCACAATGTGTATCATACAAATAGATTAGGGGTTATATGGTGAAGTGGTCACGCGGTCACACTATTACAGGGTCATTTGGTCACATGGTTCATGAGTCATTAGGAAAACCAGTCACATGGGTGACAATAGGAACAGACTCACAATAGTCACAAGGTTACAAGGTCACAAATTCACACGGTCACAAGGTCACATGGTCACATGGTCACATGGTCACATGGTCATATGGTCACAAGGTTACAAGGTCACAAGGTCACAAGGTCACATGATCACATGGTCACATGTTTCAGAATGGTCAGATTGGTAATAATGGTCACAAAGTCACATAGTCACATGATCACAATGTTGAGAAAGGTCGAATTAATCTTCATTTTGTAACTCAGTTTTCCAGTGGTATAATGGAAGGGCGAGACGAGATGTCAACAATTATATATTTTCTATACGACGGTGCTTGGATACAGAATAAGAATGGAGAATATGAATGGGAAGGAAGGGTTGTGGAAAACCAAAGATTGTTATTCTTTTGTCCCCCCTTGGAGATGACCTACAGTGAACTTGTTAGAGAGTTATGTTCGGAGATGAAGGTAGATAAAGATAAAGTAGAGATCAAGCTGAGCTATTTACCAAATATAAAAGAAAACAGAAAGCCCACCTACCTATGGAATGACAGGCATGTTCATATTTATCTACTGGATAAAATAAATGGAATGTGAGGCATGCTTTATGTGGAGATAGATGAGGTACGAGTGAAAGGTGAATGTGAATAAAATGTTGAAGAACAACCTATAATGCCTGCTGGTGAAAGTGGTGTTGGAGGTAGTAGGAAGCGAGATGGGATAGATTATGATGATTGTGTTATGTTGAGCCCTAATTTTAAGAGTAAAGTTGGGAGTAATAATGTGGCAGAGGTTATACATCTTTCTGACAGTGAACATTCTAGTGGTCTTAGGGATGTTATAGTGACTGAATGTGATGGGGATCGTGCTGATGGTGGTGATGATTTGGCCATTGAGATAGTAGCAGACTCTCGGTTTTCGAATTCTGTATTCAGTTTCAGTGATGGTTTAAATATCACAATTGGCCATGAGTTTGACAATAAGGTAGCAGCACAAGAATTTGTTCGCAAGGGTGTAGCTATGGGTCGTTTTCGTTACAGTACACTGAAGTCCGATAAAAAGTTGTGGGAAATAAGATGCAAATTTGCTGAATCGGGCTGTAATTGGAAGTTGCGAACGGCATTGATTTTAAACTCGGAGCGTTGGAGTGTAAGAAAACACAATCCCATGCATAGCTGCAAACCCGTATCTGAAACAAGCGAAGCTTTGAGGGGTACAAAGAAATTGGTTCGGGATTATTTGAAGGAAGAATTTCCCGGTAAACTTGATAGTACCCCTTCAGCCCATGAAATTGTAGACATGGTAAAAGCCAAGTACGGTACAACCGTAACATATTTGACGGCATTACGAGGTAAACACAAAGCTGAAAGTGAGATTCGAGGTGATCCTGCTGAGCATTTCAGAAAGCTTCCTGGGTGGTTGCACATGTTGCAAAAGAGAAATCCCGGAACGATTGTCGGTCTTGAGTTGGACAAAGATGGCAAAAGTTTCAAATATCTCTTCTTCGCATTGGGTGCAGCGGTAAGAGGATGGAATTACATGTGTAAAGTGGTTGCAATTGATGCAACATTTCTCACGGGACAATACAAGGGTACATTGGTCGTTGCGACGGCACAAGACGGTGACCACCACCTATATCCGTTAGCCTGGGGGGTTATTGACAGAGAAAAAGATGCATCATGGAGATGGTTTATGAAAATGTTAATAAAGGCAATCCCAGATGGACCTGATGTTGTTGTGATTTCTGATCGACATAGGAGTATAATAAAAGCCGTCAGCGAAGTGTACAAAGAAGCAGGGCACGGATTTTGTGCGAGACATATAGCACAAAATTTGAAAGTCAAGGTTAACAAAGGCATGGGAAGAAAAAGTTCGAGAGGTGATACCATTGC